AGCGATAATTAAAACGGCAAGTGAAGAAATGAGAGGTGCTGCGACGAAACGGTGGTGCGTTCTCACAAATAATCAATAAAGTGAGTTCAGCTAATGACATATCTATTTTTAGAACTGCTTTTCAAAACTATAGTAATTTTTGGTGCATTTCAGTACGATCCTGTCATACTAAGGTCGATATAAAGAAACAGTCACATTAATTTAATGTGAGAGAGAAATGCTTGTAAGTAATTATAATAAAAATCTACCCAGACTCTATAATCACACAATATATACATATGTAAAAAAAGAAGGTGAGAACCAGTCAGATTAACGTTAATATATGTAAACAATGTAAGTTTCTGCTAGGCTAACACTAACGTGAATAAACTTTCTAAAAACTTCACCATAACTTATTTCATTGTTATTCTTTGTAATGCGTGTCGTTTTTTTTATTAAGCATAAAGATACACAATGGGCTATCTGTGCTCTGCCAACCGCAGGTACCAAACTTTATGAGCCCATAGACTTGTTGCTTAGCCACCTGGAGGCTACTCCTTATAATGGATTAATTAACAAAACTTTTAGCGTAGATAATGTTTCTTAGATATATATATGCATGATTTTTCTAATACAACTTTAAAATATTTTCACATATTCGAAAAAATAATGTAAATAATGTATTAATTTGCATTTGTTAATTTGCAATGAGTAGGCACATAAACAGAGACAAGTTTAGTCACATAACTATGTCGTGGGTTCTTCTTCTAATCTATAGTAAGATAACAATAGAACATACAGAGAACTCTGTAAGTGAAAAATGTGGCATATTACCAAACAAACTTCAGTAGTTTCACTTAACTTGCTAACGTTTAAAAATGTAGAAAGTAGCATGGAAGCATAAAACAAAGAGGTTGTTATTGTATACAAGTTCATGGGTGGTGCACAGTTTCGGTAGGTGGAAAATTACACCCTGAATTATAATAAAAATTTCCTGAGAGGTGTTAATATTTATGTATTGTAACTTTATAATGAACATACTATTAAAAACAAAATGTGTGAAGTTATTGTAAACTACTCTATGTATTGTTACTGATGTTTTTTTTCGAAATAGTTATTTAAACGAAACGTAAGTTCTTTAGAAGCTCAACAGGACGTACAATTAGAGTTAATAGTAACTGGCACTTTGTCTTTACGTGACATCATAACTTAATTATCCTGTTAAAAGCTCGTTTATAAAAGATATAACGTACACGTATTTAGTTATTTTAATGTTATGAAAGAAACTGCTTTGCATTCTGAAGAAAAATAAAATATAATTGCATTAATTTAAACTTTAATGTTTCCAATGGTTTTTTCGTGTGCATAGTATAGTTAGAAAGGCTTACTTAATTACTAAGTGAAACAGGAGAACTTTGTGTTACTAGTAAAATCATATTTTGTAATAGTCCAAAACTGTATTGGTAAATAATTATATTTTCAAATTAAACTGAAGAGAATGTATCTGAAAATGATAACTTTTGAAATGTCAATTTCTTTAACTGAAATTTATGCAACACAAAATTCACGTCCAGAAATACAAAGGTAAGACTACTGCATTGAACATTCTACGTCATCAAATATTTCTCCTCAGTAAGTGTAAAAAAAGAGAAACATTTTTACCACATTTAATAATTTTCAAACATCACGAACATACAGACTGAACTCATTTCCACTATCAAGGAAACTGGGGTTTCATAGCGTAGGGCCAAAAGTTTAGTTCAGTTGATTTATCATCAACGTTTGATATCAGTTTCCTTACATGTAATGTTGAGCTATCAGAGTCTATCCTTCTAATACCTAACTGAACACAGAAAAGCCTTATGCTTTAGAGGATTCTGTAACAAAATTATTTCTTTAAACTAACATTTTCACCTCCTTCAACTTCCTTAAAAGACAAGCAAACAAATACTAACTAAAAGCATCCGTCACCTAGTCATGTCAAAGTTTTTGTTAATAAATCATTTGGATTTAATTTCCATGATATCATTGTAATACTATCACAGTAAGTGACAATGACAATATATTTTATTAGTTAGACGGTCTCACACAATTGAATTATAGTACATACATATGGTTTAGTTCTTACTTTCACACCCACGATCTTATTCTTTCATTGTGAAAGAGTAACTGAAGTTATCCAATGTAAATTCACAATTACAGTTTTGCTTTTCAGCATAAGATCCTAAGAACAACATTATATAACTAACCTATGTATAGCTGGCCTGAGTTGACTTAGCTCGGAATTGCAGTTCTCAACAGGATATGTTATTTTTGGTTATAGCATGATATTTGAGACAACTTACAATATCTCATAATTCGGGTGGTTTCAATTACGTATGTGTGTTGAAAAAAAAGTAGGTTTGCCAAACTCAAGGAATAACAGATTTTTACATTTTTATACATTACCATCTTAAAGTTTTAAGAGAGAGATTGTGATTCACTGCGCAAGGAATCCGACAAATCAATTTCCACAACTGCTAGAGAAGATTTACTAGCACTTTGACATGTGAAATCTAGAAAAAGTTATAATTTGAGTGTATTTTACGCCGCATTACGGAAACAAAGTAGCATGCAAAAGAAGTAACTCAAGCAAACTCCCCTGAAAAATCTATAATCAACAGAAACATTAACCTTTTTATGTCGAATCGAACTGAACGATCTGAATGTTATTCAGGTTCTTCACACCCGAATAAAAAGATACCATTAGTTGTTATGTTCAAGCAAAGTAAAGAAACGTTTCGGAAAGTAGAAAAAGAATAGCTATATTCATTACAAAACTTCCCAAAATTTAAAATACGATTAAAAATTATACTTAAACAAAATATTCAATAATACCACTGTTATTAAAAGTGGGGGCTTTAGGCATAATTCCGAAGCTTTTTGCACAAGGCTTACCGGAAACTGACGTGGGTAAAGGATCGAACAAACTTCGCCGTTTATAGTAAACGCTACGCTGAAAGAAAGCATACGCTGAGAACATTTATTTCTAGTTATAGAGTTGCCGCGCTGCATTAAACTCTCTTGTTTTTAACTGTTCTGTTTTTTCTTTCGTCGTCAATTTATTCAGTAAACCATAGAAACGTTAGTTTCAAGGAGCATTAACTTATATACACGTGTAAACATACTGTAAAACTTCCATTGCATATTTTAAAAGATAAAAAGTTTTGTTGTCTCTCGCTTTCGCATTGATTAATTTTCACTTAAATTTATACGTTTGTTTCCTTTTTTCAATGTTTTTATTACGTACTCAACTATTATTATATTTTCAATGTACATAGAGAAACACAATCATATTAAATGTATATTTTCATACGTTAATTCGAGAATTCTCACCTTTCTGATGTCGCTTAGTGGGTATCAATGATTATGGGAGGGAGTAGACTTACAAGATGAAGCTTGTTAGTTTAAGACTACCTTGTACGATTTGATCACTGACTCTGTAGACAACTTTTTAAATAGAAGAAAGTCTTCAAAGGGAAATGTACAGAGTGACATTTGAAAACGTATACGTCGCTCTATCAGAAACACGTGTGAAGCAAAAGCTAGGGAAAATATTTATGCTTGAATGAATTTGTAATTAGAGCCCATAATATAAGATAAATTCATTAAAATAGATCAATACGATCATGATATTGTTGTGAACGTAAGTTATTGGATTATAATATTTAGTAATTATCTTTAATAGTATGCATTATCAATGGTTGTGCTTCAATAACAAAAGCTTTTAACTAATGTACAAATGATGTAAATTACAATAATTATACTCATGGTATTCATATATATATATATATATATATA